TTCTTGGTCTCATAATATATCAACGTACCTTCAGATATCATCGATATTATTTAGATGGTTCAGATTATGTCAATATTTACGAATAGAAATATTTTAATAATGTTTGAATAAATATTCTATGTAACAAAAAAATATTCAGCCTGCAATATACTAGGTATTTCATTTCCATCAAGGATCACAATACATACATTACATACAGGGTTTTTCATCTCTTGGAGCGCACGAAAGGAAATTCCTATAATGTTCGAGGAACATCGTGCGTACCTTGGAAACTTTTGGAGGTTATAAAAAATAATTCCAAGACTTTGCCGTTCTACAGATGAAAGAGTGTCGGTAAATTGTTGCTCGTCATATCTCAAGGTTGACAACGAAAGGATGTGCTGACTGGGCTTGTTGAGTTCGTCTGACTGGTATTGCATGTGTTGGAATGATAGCAGATATTTCTGAGGAACATTTCCCGTGGAAGTATTTATTGCAATGTGAAAGGTCTCAGACTTTTCTACGGTATTTTAATGAGGTCAAAGAACTAGGGAGTGTGGCATCACCCACCAGGCGTATGACTCTTCTCAGGATGGAACCTAAGAGCGTCAACGTATGTTTGGGTTCCGAACCTTATATGTGAGAACAGTATTCTAAAACTGTCCGTATCTGTGCTTTGTAGATCATGAGAAGCTGTTGAGGTGTGAAGTAGATTTTCGCACGGAACAAAAATCTGAGTACCGAGCATAGATATAGAGGACTTGGTGGGAATGGTGGTACTTGAGGTGGTACCAGACATTGTTATATCAGGCTTGAGTTTTTATGGCGTTGAATTCAACTAGGTTGTTGGTTCCACAGGCTGTTATTTTCGCAAGATCCCCATTGACAGCGTTGCCTTAGTCGTGAGTTTTTAGTGTCCTGGGAAGAAATAGAAATTCTGGAAGAGAACGTAGTATGGAAAGAACCGAGGAGAGAACTATCGTCTGTAAAGCTGTGGATAGGGCAAGTGGTTGCTCCCAACCGATATCATTGGTGCCAAAATTTATCCTTGTGGAACGCCGGAATTGATAATGATACTCCGCCCATGATTTTTTTGCAAGCGATTTCGTATTTTTCACGAGACAACTCATCTGTTCCAATTTTTGCTCTTTCCAGAATTTCTAGTGGTGTAGAGGAGGGGTAAATCACGTGGGGAGTCCAGTGAACCCTAATATATAGACGGGAATTCCTCGGAAAGTCTGGGTATTATTTGGGAATTCCTTGAGGAGTCCGGGAATGCATTCGGTAGCCCGGGTATTCTTTGGGAAGTCTGGGAATTATAATGAAGTCTGGGAATTCCTTGGGAAGTCCTGGAATTCCTTGGATAGTCCAGGTAGTCTTTGAGAATTCCGAATATTCTTCAAGAAGTCCGGGAATTCTCTGGGTAGTCCCAGGAATTCCTTGGGTAGTCCCAGGAATTCCGGGAATTCTTTCGAAAAAGGAAGTCTATAGTGTACCCGAAATTGGCATGTGATTCAATTTCGTGTAATTGCCATCGTTTATAAGTTGTTTAAATTTTATTATTGTATTCAATATTTTCCATGATGACTATTGCATTGCCTTTATCAGCTGGAAGTATTTTGATTGTGTTATCGTGTTTCAGGTTAATAAGTGACTGTTTTTCTATTCTAGTAATGTTTTGTGTGAGTTCGTGTACTTTTTCAATAATAATTTTATTTATAATCCGATACTCATTAGAAAATTCGGAGTTTGTTCAATTGCTGTTATCAAATCTAATCTCGGAAAATTATTTGGAGTTATTGAAAAATTCATTCCTTTTGATCTGTCAATGCTCTCGATGATAGATTTATAACCGTTTTTAATAGTTTTGTTCATGAAATGTTGTTGACGACTTCTGAATCTTTTTGTGATACTAATATTATAAAGAGGAAAGATTTGATTGTTTGTTTGTTTGTATTGAATAGGTTCCGAAACTATTGGATCGATTTGGCTGAAAATTGGTGGGGAGGTAGCTTAGAACCAGGAGAAGGTTATAGGATACTTTTTCTCCCGGTACCATTAGGAAATTCAAGATGGCGGATCTATAATATATCGGACGAGTTTTGTAATTATGGTCCGATCCTATTCAAAATTGGTATCTGGGGGTTTTCGGGGTCGGAGATCATGATTCTTCCATCAGAATTTGAAATTTGGGAATTCAAGATGGCGGAACCAATATGGCGGACGAGTTTTGTGATTATAATCCGATTCTTTTCAAAATTGGTACCTAGAGGTTTTCGTGATCGGGGATTATACTTCCTTCGTCAAAATTAAGAAATCCAAGATGGCGGATCCAAAATGTCGGATTTTTTTTATCGCTTGGAGCGCACGAAAGGGATTCCCTATAATGTTCGTAATTATATAGGATCCGATTTTATTAAAATTTTGTATCTGGTGGTTCTCGGGGACGGAGATTGTGATTCTTTCATCAAAATTAGGAAATTCAAAATGGCGGACCCAATATGGCAGACGAGTATAGTAATAATTATGATCCGACTCTCTTCAAAATTTTGATCTGACTGTTTTGGGGATCGGAGATTATGATTCTTTTGTCAAAATTTGGAAAGGGCGGGATTTGGAAATTCAAGACGGTGGAACCAATATACCAGACGAGTTTTGTAATTATGGTCAGATTCCATTCAAAATTGGTATCTGCGGGTTTTCGAGGTCGGAGATTATGATTTTTTATCAAAAATAGGAAATTCAGAATGGCGGATCCAATATGGCGGACGAGTTTTGTAATTATGATCCAATTATATTCAAAATTGGTATCTACGGGTTTTTGGGGTCGGAGATAATGGTTCGTTCGTCGAAATTTGGAAATTCGAAATGGCGAATCCAATATGGCGGACGAGTATTGTGATTATGATCCGACCCTCTTCAATATTGTTATCTGGGTGTTTTCGGGGTCGTAGATTATGATTCTTTCGTCAAAATTTGGAATGGGCGGGATTTGGAAATTCAAGACGGTGAAACCAATATACCGGACGAGTTTCGTAATTATCGAGGTAATTATATACCAATTCTATTCGAAATTTGTAAGTGAGCGTTTTCGGGATCGAAAATTATGATTTCTTCGTCAGAATTAGGGAATTCAAGATGGTAGATCCAATATTGCGGACGAGTTTTGGGATTATGTTCTGATTCTATTCAAAATTTTCATCTGGGGTTTTAGTAGTCGCATATTATCGAGCATATTATGATCCTTTCGTCAAAATTGGGAAATTATAAGTACAAGCAGCACAACTTTCAAAGAGGAATATTTTGCATTTACATGTTGAGAACGGGAGCAGATTCGGTCCCGAAACGTCCAAAGATAAGTACAAATTCGATATTTTTTTAATATATCTATATTTCTTTCCTTCAAACATTTTTTCAAACAAATGTCACTGACAAGCTACTGGATTTTTCTTTTAGACTTCCTGATAGAAAAACTTGTCAAACGCAGTGACAGTTTGGGGCAAACGATCTGATTTGTCCCACTAAAAATATATTGAAATAATACGAATATATTACGCTCGATATTACGTTTCCTGGACAGAGAATACATAGATCTCAATATACAGAGTGTAGAGTGTGTCAAACATGTATCATGAAATATTTGAAGAAAATGAATCTTCATTCTTATTCTATATGTCTATGGACATGGATAACGCAGTTTTTTCCACCCGAGTTTCCACCCGTTTCCACCCCAGCTTTTGAAGGAATTTATGGAATAAATTGGTATTTATTTTTTCCATGGAAATGAAGCAAATTATCAAAACAATTCAAGACACCAAAATGTTGAATTTTTACTTGGCCAATAGTTAATGAAGATAGAGAATTCAAAAAATCGGTGGCGCACATTTTATTGACGATAATATTCGGTAGGATGCCCCCTGGACGCCACTGGATTTCATAATTCCAATTGAATTATGGCTATATCCGCGCCTCATGACAAAAAATATCATTACCAAATTTCAAGATAATCAGTGGAAGGACATTTGAGATATTCATAAAAAAAACGATTTTTTTTAAGTTTAAGACTCGGTTTAAGAATATGTCCGCGTGGATGAAACAAGTTTCCCGAGATTTTCCATTAATATATTTCTCAAAGGGTCCTTAACTCGGTGCTTAATAATCTGTAAGTACTTATAGGTATCTCACAATATTTTGTCGGGCAGGAGTTAACCCCACATGACCCTTTTTGTGGATTCCGTAAAAATCTCGGTAAAAATCATATCTTTTTCAAAATACACGTTTTTTTACATGAATGCGTTTCTCTTAATAGAACTTGATAATCTGAATATCCCACAATATTTGTTCGGGACTCGATTTACTATCATGGTTTTGAAAAAGTTTGTATTTTAATAATTATTCTGCATGTTCTAAGATTACTAAAATGCAAATTTCGTCAGAACCATGAGAGCAATCGAGTCTTATCAAGAGTACCTTTTTTAAAGTAAATGAGTTGCGCAATCTAAATTTCATACCGAGTTTCATACTCAAACTCGAGATCAAACTCCTTTTCTTCCATTGGCGTAGAATTTATAAAGGTGCAGAGATGCAATTATTTAAAAAATCAAGTTCTACGCCTATGTATTATTATCGGACAAAATTTTAACACCATTTTTTTTGCCACATGAAACTCTATCAATATACCAAATTTCAAATTTATATGGGAAAAACGATTTAAAAATTGTAACTTCAAGGCCTTCTGGAGCCCAAACGATGCAACTTTGTACTGAGGTAATTTTACTTGAATCGACTTATTTTGGTCTAGGGAATATGTGGTATGTTTTTGTAAAGACCTTTTACAGTCACCCTGTGTAGGTACTCGGTGTATACCTACCTACTAGGTAGGTATAAATACCCTCGGGTATACCTACACCGAGGTATTCACCCATCAGCTCTGCTCAGGATGAACAATTATTTAATGAGTATAGATTGAAAGATTCGTATTATCAGTTCCTCAGTTTATTTCCATTCAAATTCAGTCTCACCATGCTCCTGTTGGTCTCCATTTTGGCATTCTTCAGAACATTTTCTATCACGGCATTCTTGCTACCCACATGTTTACCGAATCTCGCACAATTTCTCAAAATTGAAAATGCCATGCTTATTCCAGTTTATCAATTAGAAAACCACAACTCACTATAACGTTCACCTCGACGTTCACGTTCAACAGGCAATATGTTGTTTTGTATTGGATATCGCCTTCCCGCAAACAAAACAAACTGGCAGATCGGCTACAATTCAACCGAGAATTCAACTCAACAGCACAACAGCACCAAGCACAGTGGCACGCACAATAAACAACAAGAACTGCAACAGGTTCTTTCCAACCAATCCAACCAAAGAGTCTCGTCTTTCGTTCTCCCTCTCCCTCCTCCACACAGTTTATCGTTTTTGAATGTTTGAATGTTTGATGTTTGCCCGCGGTTGGGGTTATTGGCTCTGTTGGCTAAGACTGTATAGATAGAGTATATAACGGTTATGCAGCACACCATACGTGACAATTTCAATACGTTAGTCCTTTCGGTACTTTCGTATTGAATTGGGTACCATTTGGGTACTTTCGGAACGTCAAAAGTCAGTACGACTTTTTCTAAAACCCATATATCATTCATTGGGTAGGTACCTACTTTTTCGGTCCTGAAGGCATTGACGTCATGACTCTTTTTTTTCTATTATTCTATCCGGAAATGGGTTCACCAAGTTATCATTGCTTTTCTAGTATTTTCTTTAAATTCTATTTGCTGATATCTTTCAAGTACGTTTCAGTACCATTTTTATGAGAATTTCAGTAGGTAGGTACCCATCATCCCATCAATAAACCTATAAATATAGTTTAGTGATAGTAGGTATACCTATTACGTTACGTAATATGTGTTGTAAGGAGCATATTACGCACGAATGGAAAAGTAATTCCATGAGTGCGTAATTGCTATACAACTCGCAATACGTGCTATACTTTACCTACTGCCATATTGACATATTGTACATCGAAACAGTTTGGACAAATAGTCTGAATTATAATTCTTGACAGTTATGTTATCCGCTGTTGACGGCGATTACGCCATGACATAATGTATCTATACTGGCGGAATAAAAGACAACTGTGCGATGTGCTTACTGTACGTAAAGAGCTACTTACTGTGGGTGTATCTCGTGTACTCTTGCCTACTTTCTATAGTGGCCGTAAATGAACAAAAAATAGGAGAAAAAAATCGCGTAAACGCAATTTTTTGCACGAATTCAATACTATTCAAAGATGCAATGCAACAAAGAATCCGTGTGGTGAGGATAATACTTTCTGTTTTATACATTAGTTCGCAAAAAACACAAATTGCAAATGGTTATGCGTACCTGCTTGATAAGCCAACTTGCTCTTGCGCTTGTTTTATATAGTGTTAGCGACAAAGTTCAATTCACCCGATTCATCGGATTATTCGGATTTCGTAATCATAATGCTATGCGATCGAAGCGCGGGGACTTTTCATCGGCTTCAGAAAAAGAAGGTCGTTCGTTGTATTTCATATATGGTTTTCTTTGTAATAGCTATCCTGAGTGAATAAATGTGTTCAAGTGACCTATATACTTCAATACACTATTTCGTCCAATCAGCGCCGGGATTGGCGAAGTGGAAGAGCGTCCGTCTCACGACCGCAAGGTCGTGGGTTCGATTTCCAGCACGGGCAAAGGAACTTTTTTCAATATTTTATTTACGAATTAAATATTGTAAAGTTTCGGAGCATCGGCTGGGGATAGTCCTGCACGATTCGCTGTTGCGTTCCAATTAACAGTGCTGCTCCTAAAGTGGCGCATGGAGTTAGTAACAAAGCCTACACAGAACACGCAGAAAGATATGATGATGTGGTTGTGAGCATCAGAGAAGAAGTAGGACGGTGTATGTAGGTTGGTGTGGAAAACTACCAGCTGAGCGTGAGAGCGGGCCAGCTGCTTAAGTAGACCTCGGTCTCGGGGGTTAACGATGATAGTTAGCAGGCCTGCCACTGCGCATATGGTAGTGAGTACATTACTAGCCTACAAAACACAGCTGAAAAACTCTGAAAAGAGAGCTGATGGGCGGTGCCTGAAAAGGATGTTAGCCAGCTCTCTTGAGCGAACCACATCAGTCATTGAAAACACTTGGGGTTGGCAAAAAGGTCCCATTGGGGACTAGTTGCTGACGTGGAAACGTCCCCCACCAGTACCAGTACCAGTCGTCCAATCAGCAGTGACATAAAATAGTATATTATACACCTAGGGTCAGCAGTGAGCTATTATATAGCAAGCACTATTATTTACAAGGGCGCCGAAGGATATAATGTGCAAGCATTCTCACCCGATATATACACCCGTGTCCCAGCAAAATGGCCACACCAAAGTGCACATCAACTTCCTTATTTGAATAGGGACACCCAGTATATATTATTCCATATTCAAGTAGAGTTCATTATTACAAATTCAACAATGCTGGGTTTGATGGAATTTTTTCAAACTACTATGAAGATATGGCAAAAAATGAAACGATTCAATAAAAAATTTATATGATTAGATTTTATCAATATAACACGATTGAAATCGAATGATGGGTGTCCTGCACATAACTACAGACCCGTAAAGGATTATATTCGCCATCGGTTCGGAGAAAATCTAATAACCACCAATTGTCTCGATGGTGATAGCAACTGGCCAGCTCGGTCGCCAGACCTCACCCCACTTGATTTTTATTTGTGGGGCTACTTGAAACAACAGGTTTATGAGTCGCCAATTGTGAATATGGAAGAAATGAAAGAGAAAATCACAAATTAATGCGCTCAAATTGATCGCAACGTGATACATAGGGTCAAAATAAACGTTATCAAAAGAGCTAGGAAATATTGAAAAGAAACATTCTCAGATATATTTATGAACACAAAATATGGATATATATATATATAGAAATACATTGAGAATTCTCCATGTGATGAAAATATTATTTCTTTCTCGGTTTATTCAACAGAAAACAACTACTTTCCTGGCTATATGCCACGACGAATATTGAATTACATCTATTGAACACACACGATAAGAATTTGAAAACAAAATCTTCTGAAGTAGAGAATTTGCATTCTCCTTCATATAAAGATATGCATATAATATAATTCTGAACATTCAACAAAAAAAAAACGACTTTCCTGGCTATTTGCCACGTCGAACATATCTGTTGAATATTCAAAAAGAGAGCATGAAAAATCAAAATCCTCTGAAATTGAGAATTGACACCAATTCAGAATTTCTTTCCACGTCCTGTATGATGAATGCCAATTTACCATACACCCAAAAAAAAGAGCTAGGAAATGTTTGCAAAAGAATGGACGACATATTGAGCAGTTCAGGTTTTAATTATTTCCTGTTCATTCGATTTCAATCGTGTTATATTAACGGAATCTAATCATATAATTTTGTTATTGAATCCAATTACCACAAAATCTAAAACAATTAACTCCAGCAATGCCATTCAAAACCGGATTAAAAAAATATTTGGAAGATACCCCCAGAATTGATATTCATCGAATTATAGAGCAATCTAGATTTTAGATTCTAGACTATTATTCATATTGTCAGTTATTGTCCTTAAATGTTGATGTGCATGTTATACATATTTATAAAGGTTCTATGTACAGTGTGTCCATTTAGTGCGTAATTCTTCGATATCTCCAAAGCCATAACCTATAGAAAAAAACTTTGAAGGAAAAACTTCTTCAGTTACTCAAGTTGCTTATTTCAAAAATATTTTCAACATTACTGGGTGTTTTATAAAAGCGGGATGACCCGGAGACGAGTTTTTTTAAATGGAACACCCTGTATTGTTTATTCAGAATTTATTCCGCTGAGGTTTACCTTCACATCGCTGTAAAAATAACTGAAATCGGTTACGGCGTTGCCAAGTTATAATTGATAAATCTATTTTTACCACTATTGAAGAGTCATGTTGAATTGGGCATGGTATATTCATTTATTCAAATTATGAAAATATTTTTGGCATACGGTAGTAGCAAGGTCTCACGTATACAAATTCAGTAATTTTGCGACAAGTTCTTCAACAGGGTGCTCTATTTCGCATTTAGAATTTCGCAAGATTCAGATGGCATTCATTAGAATTTTTCAAATGGAACACCCTGTATTTTTTTTCACAAATTTATTCCGACATCTTTCACCTTTTTATCGCTGAAAAAAAATCATAATCGGCTGCGGCGTTGTCAAGTTATGGATAATTTCCTTATTTTTACTACTATTTCGGAGTATAATTTTTACGTCATAGTTCTTTCATTCAAATAATCAAATTTCTTCATTGACCATTCATATATTTTTTTACAATAGGAACATTTGCACGTTCTCCAAGTTTGAATTTAAAACAGAGTGGATTTGACAAATTGATCCAAAATGCTACTTTCACAGATTTTTTGCAGACAACGAATTACTTTTTCGAAGTACACTTCCATTATTCGTGTAATGACCTGTCAAACATCGTCACAATCAAATATATCTTGAATTTATTTAAAATTTTGCTGAATTCCATCCCGAAACTCGCGTGGTAAAGAAATATTATTTGTATCATTATGTAGAGTTTGCCTCCTTCAAGTTTGATGGAGATTTGGTATGTGGGAATAACGACAATAAAAGTGGTCCAAATTTCCAAAAATTGTCCTTATTCTCGCAATTCAAATCTCCATTGTTTGTATTGTAGAAGTTGTTTTAAAGGCAGGCGTTTTGCTTTTGGCATGTTTGTTTCACATAGGTACATATTATTTAAATCATAAGTAACAAGATTACGGAATATTTCAAATTTTGACAATGCTTATATCGCAAAGATACCTGAATGATCTATGTAGAACCTCGAATGTCATGTGGCAAGCAATATTTCCACAATCAAATCAAATAAAGGAACCATGTCTCATAAGTTGCCCTGATAGATAGTGATGAACATAAGGAAATTACTTATAACTTGAAAACCCCGCAACCGATTTCAATTTTTTTTCAGCGATGAAAAGGCGAATGATGTCGAAATAAATCTGTGATGAAAAATACAGGGTGTTCCATTTGAAAAATTCTAGTGAACGTCGCCTGAATCTTACAATATTCAGAGTGTAAATTTTAGCACCCTGTGAAGGATAATCTCGCAAAATTACTGGATTGGTGTACGTGAGACCTTGCTACTACTGTATGCCAAAAATCTTCTCATAATTTTAATAAATGAATATACCATACCCAATTCAACATGACCCTTCAATAGTAGTAAAAATGGGTTTATCAATTATAACTTGACAACGCCTCAACCGAATCCAATTTTCTCCACAGCGATATAGAGCTAAACCGTAGTGGAATGAATTTTGAATAAAAAATACTGGGTGTTCTATTTAAAAAAACTCGTCTCCGAGTCCTCCCGCTTTTATAAAACACCCAGTATTGTTGAAAATATTTTTGAAATGGAACCTTCAATAACGGAAGAAATTTGTTTCCAACATTTTTTCTCTAGTGATAATGGATTTCGAGATATCGAAGAATTACGCACTAAATGGACACACTGTATAGAACGTGTTTGTATCTTCTACTCCCTACGCACAGACTTGATCTTCTGTAGGGCTACCAATTTATTCCTTCTCTACATATCTCTCTACACTCTACATATTTATTCTACATGTATATTGTACTCATTATATCATGGTCCTGGTTTTATGAATACAAATTCGATTTCACATTTGGCCATGATGTCGGTGGATTCGCTCTTTGTGATCAACAATACTCGCTAATATAGTTGCTAATATTCAACAACCCACCCACAATCCACAATTTTTTATAAGGATTTTGCGGAAATATAAGATCAGTAAATGTTATAATGATGAAGTGTTTATTTAATCGTTCAATGCATTTATCATATTATTATGTCCATTACTTTCCATTGATGTTTGATAACAATGTATAGAATGAGGATGCCAGTCGCACAACCTGAAAATAATGAGAATTCAAAATATATACATATAAATAATGCCATAGATATTTATAACTTTTACTCACTTTTATGAATAAAAGCATGTCGATATTAGACCATCGTAGCAAAGTGAAGGTTGGCGGTTTTTGAAGTCTTGTCATCAAAATAACCAATTTTCTTCTCAAACTCGTTGAGTAGCGCAACCAGTCAAGATCGTAAACATTCCTCAAAACAATAAAGAACTGTAACAAAAATAGTTATTTGAATATACAGGGAAATTCTCAAATCATCTTTTCTGATCTTGTGACAGTCTGTATAACGACCCAGGTAGCATACTGACGTCATTTTGACATACATTTTTCGTCACACTGGACGTCTATTCGATCTAATGAATGACGTCATAATGACGGTATAGGATGGCATGATTATGTCACAGGCAGAAGACGTCATTTTGTAATGTTATTTCGACGTGTGATATTTCGACGCCCATTGGGTCATTCAAGTGACTTCAATACGACGTTTATGACACGTTAATTTGACGTTCAGGAGTCGTCAATTCGACCATTATAGTTGACGGCAATTCGATGAACGGTTTACCTCAATTCGACGCAATGTGGACGTCATTTTGACATTTTTTTTTTCGTCATGTTCGATATCTCATCGACCTAAAGAATGACGTTTTTATAATGATAGAATGACAGATCCCTTGCAATATAAAAACAACACTGTATATTCACAAATGAGATATATCTCTGGCAGTTGACAAGCATTGACTTCCTTGATCAAGTGAGTATAGTTTTTGAAAAGGAATATTCTCAATCGAGAGATTGAAACGTGAACGATGAAAATTTTTGTTCACATAACCTCTATCCAGTATCCATAGATTTGTGATTGAGTTTCCTCAATTCAGAATTTTTCCATACTCTGTCTGATCTCATCGTACAAATGACATATACAATTCATCAACTTATTCAATAATATCTATCAAAAAATTAGACACATTCTCTTTCATTTCAATTTTGAGATAGTTTCTCCATGAATATCGATTTTTTTCGTTCATAATCGACGTACTTTGGAAGCAATGGTTGTGAATAATATGGTATATATTATGCTTATCCCTTACCTCTGATGTGAATTCTTGACAAAACCAACAGACAACAAAATTTTCGATCAAAGTAACACCAAATATTGATGCATAAAGAGATATTTGAAACGAAGCACTCAACTGAAAAAAAAAACAATTTGTAACCATTATCACAGTAGTTTAGAGAATATACTAATATATTCTGTAAACTTTACCATGCATTATCATTCATATATGCAATAGAAATCATTGTTGCTAGAAGGATAATCCACAAAATTCAAATTCAAATCTGTCCATGACACTTCATATAGAAATCACTGGTAATCGAGATGAAACATCAGCTCAATTTTCCTCTGATTTGGCATATTCGAGTTCATATTGATAATTCGCAATAATAATCATTGCCCATATTCTCAATCTATCTGCAGAATATTGAGGTATCCTTTTTTTTGGAATAAAAATCGAAACCATTAATGCGAATCTTTCAAATCTCAAGGTTATCAGAAGGTTATCCGTGTTTATACTACTAATAAGGTAATATGAGGAATGAAAATATCTCTTCTGCATGAAAAAGAAAAGTACTTTCAGCCTAACGTGTCCTAAATGATCCTTTTCTATAAACAGAATATTTTTGAGGAATCAATTGAGTGAAAAAAATTTAAAAAAAACTGACGCCTCGCAGGTATTGAACCCCAGTCAGCAACGTGGAAGTCAAATACACATACCACTAAGCTATCGCTTTACTCGTAGTGTAGCGTAGTTTCTCAATATGAAGGAGGAAGAATTATCTTGTGCTGTGGGTGACGTCACTTGACCTCGATGTTTGAAAGATTCGCTGGTCTAGCTAGACGCTTCTTCAATAAAGTGCATTTCTTGTGATAAAGATATTGATTAAATTTACATAAATCAAGAATTATTCTTTTTTCTCCATTTGTGAACATTTTCTTCTTCAGAATTCGATAATGTGCGAGAAGCATATGCCATATACATCCATCTTATTGGCAAATCGTGATTGGAATGAAATAAAATTGGAACTTGTACCAAAAGTTTTTTGATTCGATTAAATGCCGCTTCACAGTTTTCTGACCAGTGATTCTGATAAATAAATTCGATATAAGTTTACTACAATAATTTATCAACCCAAGAAGATTCCAGTTCAGTGATACTCTGTGGCTTGGGAGCATCTATTATTCCTGCAATTTCATCCTGACTAGTATGGAGGCCAGATTTATCAATTACATGTCCCAAATATGAAATTTGATTTGAAAAAAACCACACGTATCTATTGAAACTTTCAAACCCGATTGCTGTAATATAAGCAACACATTCTCTAACCATAGCAAATGTTCATTCCTATCTTTTCCTGTTATTAAAATGTCATTCAGAAAACACACCTCACCATCTAAACCTTGTAATAGTGATTCCGCTATTTTTTTAAATTTAGCCGTATGTGTTGAAATAGTTATTGATATTTCCCGAGTTTTTTTTTCTCGATGACATGAGAGATACGTTTTAGAATAGAGGCATAGACCTCTCTTGAACCTAAAACGTGTGTCGAGTTCGTATCCAGGACAGCGCCCTACCCGGGTGTGAAGTTGAACTTTTATGTCCGCAGGCCAAAAGGTGACACTTTATGCCCGAAAATGCGGGCCTAAAATTAACTTTTACACTCAGACGGGCAAAAACTAACTAAGCTCCTTGATCGTGACCCTTCGAGGCCACAAGTGTCACTTTACCCCCTCGACACTTTTCGCTAAAAACACCATGAAGACCCTTCACCAATAGTCTCAGCTGATACGAAGAATCACTAGAAACTCGCAAAAACTGCGGAACAGCCATTATACTGCTAGACAAACTGATGATGAAAATTCGACGAAAACAGAATGACAACCACTTGAGCGTATCGAAGAAAACACTAGAAACTCGAGCAATGAGTAGGAAGTTGTTAAGTTAGGTTAGGTCTAAACTTGAGTGGACCCATGTTAGGCCCTCCACTGCGGCCAATGGCCTATTGTGGCTCACCCTATGGTTATATTTCTCCCAGTAGGTAAATCTAATGTCTTGACGAAATTAAGGAGTACGTTGGGAGAATAATTTATCAGGTTTTCTGGCCCTACTGTTGTATTGCCAAATGTCGAAAATCTGATTCTGGGCGCTGCAGGGCATGTACATAAAATGTGTCTAGCCGTTTCATCTTCCTCCATGCATAGACGGCACTCTTTGATTTTGATTCTGTACATGTGGTATTTGAGTTTGCAGTGGCCAAGCAAACCTACTAATATAACTCTGGGATGTGCTCAACTGAGTTCTAGTACTTTGGCAGAGTCCTGTTTGTTCCTTGTACAAGCAATGAATGCTCTGGAATGGGCTAGGCCCGGTAGACTATACGCCAATACTCGAGTCTTTTGTTGTCGGCCCAGGATGTTATAACATTCTTGGCATTGGCAATGCTATATGCTATACCGATTACCGGTTCTTGCCCAGTGATCGATGTTTCGCCCCTCTCCTTTTGCTACCAGGCTAGGTTATCGTTATTGTGTTGTGCCAGTCGGTTTAAGGTTTCTCTGCAGTTCCAAACTGCTCTGGATTTGAAGCAGTTGGATTCAAGTGCTTTCAGTGCTGCTTGACTATCTGAAAATATCTTTATTGCTTTTCGTGTGTGGTTTCGATTTTCCAGCTCCCTTGCACACATTTCAATGGCGTATAACTCTGCCTGGAATACTGTAGCTAGTTTACCCATACTGAATGAGCGTTTCACTACTGGGTTCATCCCGTATGTTCCGGCTCCGACGCCTTCCGAAGTTTTGGAGCCATCGGTAAAGGGAGTTGTGACCACAAACTTAAACTTTCAACTACAAACTAGAAGGTGTGAAAAGTCGCAAAATACCAAGCGGTTATTGAATTGTTTAAGTCCTTAATCAGCGATAGATATAAAAATGTAGCCATTGATGTTCCAAATCTTGTAAGACTCTTACACTAGCCTCTGCTTCATCGTCTATAGATGAGTATACTTTAGTTTCCAGACTTTTTGGAAACTGCCCATGGGTGTCCATGTCCATCAATGAATGCTTTTCTTGGACCGGTAAATGTCCAGGCTATGCAAAAATTACGCGAGAATTTACTGTCTGTATTTTATCCAAAAACTGCACATGAAGGTCCATCCGTGAGCGGTCAAGGCACATCGATCGATGTTAGTTTTTCTGAATATACGGGTGTCCAGACTACGCATTTGCTAAAAATTGCTCGTTATGGATCATTGATGGGCGAACGAGCCCATCGATGTATGAAAGTTTTTTTTATCCTAGTCCTCTGATGTCCAGCTCCACGCAAGGAATGAACTTCCAGCATTTTCCCAGAAGTGCTCATAATGGGTCATTCATTGGCAGACGTTTCCATCGATCGATGGATGAGAATATTTTTTTAACTTCCGCGTGATCGAGCTCAATCCTGAATCTAATCACGCTAGAGGTGAATTTCTCAAGATGTCCATGGTCTATGGGCAGTTGATAGATTGATAGACCTTTATTTGACCACGATATGTAACATATAACATTTGTAGCAAGTCCTAGGTTCCAGAGAATGAATATTGAAATATTAAGGATGAATATCAATATTTACCAAAGCAGATGTTTTAGAATTATTGTAAAAATCACATTCATAAGATAATTAATACAAATGGATAGGTTTAGACTAACAGATACGACAAATATATATAAAAAAATATACACATTGAGAGAGAGAGAAAAAAAAACAACAGATATGAATGTTATTTTGAATTCAAAAAGTGTTTGGGGTGAGTATCATCGAGTCAACATTTGAATTGCTAAATTCTTCAAAAGAGTAAAAACATCGATCCAACAGATAATTTTTCATGCATATTTTGAATTGGTTGAATCTTAGTATTCCAATTTGCGCTGGTAGTTTGCTAAATAAGTGTATTTGCAAGGAGTTTTGCTGAGAGACTGATAGTCTGTATTTGAGAGGTCTAAGTTCATTTGAAGCCATAGTAGGATAACTGTGGATTTCAGCATTTGTTACAAGCTTTCCTATAGTAGACAGACTAAACCACTAATAGAGTTTGATAGATGAAGTTACAGGGAATTGTCATAATCCTGTATCGTGCCTGTATCCATGGTATCCATGTGGGTATACCAAGAACTAATCAGGACAATCAGAGGTGACCATCGACCTCAACACTTCTTGCAAGCCAAAGGTAATGCTAATGCTGAAATGATGAATATTATTTTAGGCACATTGGAAACAAAATGAGCCAAATTGAATAAGCTCAGATAACCTAACTGCGCTAAGAAGTCACTAAACTCTAAAAAATAAATTAAAACAGTAAAGGTTACTCAAACATCCAACAGAATTCAGATTTGTTATCGTTAACAGTTTTCACACTCATACATAAATCCATAAAATATTGATACAAAGCTCGTCTAGAATTTCTTTTGTTCTAGTATAGGTAGAGGTTATCTTGCTTGGCTCCAACAGCTCATAACTTTTTTAACGGACATAATAGGCCTTGTACCAAATGACATTTCTTGTTCAGCATGATTCAATCTATCTTACCCTAGATTTTCACAACATTCCACCGTAGACAAAATTCAAATGTAAATGGTGCGGGGTCCTGTTAAATTCTAATCAATAAATTGAGAGAAATCGAGAAAATTTAATATTATTTTCCTTACTTACCACCGTAGCTAGATAGGACAAACAACAAAGAATTAATAATGAAGATGAGAAGGTGGAAAAAACCGCCACAGTTATCAAACTGTCCAGTTTCTCTGCCAGGCTGAAACAGAAAAGATAATTTGATAACATGTATAGTGAAGGTAATAAATAACTAAGAGAGCCCAACAATGGTGATAGTACGAAGTACGGTTTCTCATAATTTGTCAGTACAACATAAATATTGAGATTTCTAGGTGTTCGTATAGTTTGCAGAGATGTGATATTTTGTCGCACTGTAGCACAGACGTAGGGGTCTTCGTTCGACTTATTCGCAGAGATACCTCTAGTTCTAGTTGTTCGAACAATCTACTTGTACTGAAGGTTAGATCTCCCTGCTCCACAATTTGAGTTCCCTTTCTGAATAGATATTCAGCTGGCCTAGTGCAACTGAGTAGGCTCTGCAAGCCGAAATGGCATGTCTAGATCAAATCCAGTGACAAATGTTTGCATGCTTCCAAGACGAAGAGTTCGACTGTTAGACAATGATTTGATGAAATCCATTATTTACCCTAATATTACATCAAGTTCTTGGATGCACTTGACTATCCTCATTTCCTGGACATTGTCCGACTTGAAACTTCTTTTCCCTGGAATATTGCAATCCACTTGGGTCAAGGCGAATGCTATAACCGTTACTTGGCTTCTCAAATGTGTGATAATATTGAGGAATAACCAGTCCAAAGCTAGAACAGAAAAATGAAATTATCACTGTATTGTTTCATTTCATACTGTTAAGACCCTGCAATTTTTTTCGAAGGGTCTATAAAAACTAAAACAATTTTTTTTTCTACAAGCGTGCGTGATTCATCCTATACCCGCACGCAATTTAGTTTGGGAAGTGTCATTTTCCCGCAGTAGTGCGAAAAGTTTTCCCACACTAGGAGCACTACAGAATAGTGAAAAAGTGAAGACACCAAATGAAGAAGAAGTATTTTTGAACAAATCAATCAATTTCCTACGCCTGTAGAGAAAATATTGTTCCTAACTCGATCATGCGGAAAGCAATGAACTCAATACAACGGAAAGTGTCGTTCCCGCACTCGACTGCTTGTCCGAACTCCGCTTCGCGTCGTTCGGGTCAACGACGTTCGCGTGTGGGAAATTATCACTTTCCGCACTTGTTAGGAAAATTACTATTTCATATAACTGAAAATGATAATAAATTTATTTTCCTCTTTTGATCTACTTGATCTCCAGATAGTTAGGCGCGTTCGTGGATCTTCTAAAAAACAATAATTGGACATATAATAATCAGTTAATTTCTGAACGTGGTCACCTAGTTTTTATATACAGGGTGATTCACGGTGACAGTGTATTAGAAGTATCTGGGGAACTTCTGAAATATTTTCATCAATATAGTGCTGCCGTATCAGAAAGTAGTAGCAACTTGATTATTTCAAAGGGACACCCTATATATTATTCCATTTTCTGAATGTAAGTTTATTTCTCATCAATTTTGTTTAATATTTTCCTTTACCTATCTAAAGCCGTTTTCGAGATTGTAATTAATTTCAAAAATCTTTAAGCAAAATATATTTCAATATAAATTTCAATATTTTCATAATCCGTTGTTATTTAGATACACCCTGTTATAGCAAAAAATACTTATACGTCGTGGAATTGTCAGTGTAGTACTTACTGAGAAATCCTCCTACTAGCACATAATACCCTATTGGTTGATACATGAAAGTCAAAAAGTAATGCCCATCGGATACAGAATAATCGAAAGGAAGCCACATAGGGTATACGAAATCTCGGTATACTGAAGTCTTGTTCAAGTACGGATTGAACTTTTCATAGGTATCTTCATAATAGTTCATAGTGTATGACGAGACAAAATTGATGTTAAGGTAAGCGAAGAAGCTCAAATACCCCAAGGAGCACTGGAGGGAAGTTTTGTGCTTGATTTCTTCTTGGTAAGCTGAAATTGGAGACCTGAAACAATTGGTACGTGAAAAGATATGTATAGGTACAGCGTGTCTTTACTTGTAACGCACAACTCGATCGGTGTATGTGAACGATACATTTTCTAGCATCAGAAAGGTCAAACATGGTGTCCCCCAAGGATCTCTATTGGGGCCAATATTGTTCTTGATATATGTGAATGATTTTGGTAAATATATGTCACCTGGTAAATGTGTTCTTTTCGCAGACGATACTTCCTTAGTGTCAACTAGTAGAGATATCGAGAATCTCTTGAACAATAAAGACGAAGCACTCAAGCTTCGCGATGGTTTACAGCTAATCAATTGAAATTAAATGGAGAGAAGACAAAAAAAATTACTTTCTCTAGAAATAACACCACCGCCGATTATCAAAATGGAAAATTGCTTGGTATAATTCTGGACGAAAACCTATCCTGGTCAGACCATATTGAAGAGTTAAATAGTAAACTTTCTAGGTGCATTTTTGCGCTTAGACAACTCAAAAGAATCTTGAACATCGAGGCCCTGAGAAGTGCATACTTCGCCATGTTTTATTTATTTATTTATTTATTGAAAATCAAATAGGATAACGACAGACCCCAAGGTCCAGATTGTTATCCACAATTATTACATAGTTTCATGGTGTACATATAAATTAATAACCCAAAAACTAAAATAAGTTTGAAAAATTTGATAATGAAGTAAATAAGATTTATCATTGAAATGACTACAATTTGCTGAATATTCTATGCACTGTGAGAATTGTATATGTATCTGATTTTTTTTTTGAAAACATTCAGTGAGGATTGAAAAATATCTACAGAAAACAACTTTCGATTGTACAGATTTTTCATTCTATGTAGTGGTGAATTTTCTCCTGCGTTTGTATGACAAAATGATACAGAAAATAAAGTATTGTTAGGTCTGAGAAAACGTGAAGGGACATGAATTGAGATTTTTGACAATAGATCTGGAGCGTCAGATAAATTATTTAAAACTTTATACAAAAAGAATATATCAGATTGTTCTCGACGAGCCTCTAATGAATAGAACTGAAACTGTTCCCTAAGTCTACATGTGCTTGCCAAGTGATTATAAGTACCATTAACCTTGTAGTCCATAAATCTCAAAAATTTGTTTTGAATCAACTCTAATCTGTTCTTATGCACAGCATACTGAGGATTCCACACAACCGTTGCGTAATTAAGTCTGCTGTAGACATAAGAATAAAATAATGCTTTTAATGCTTGAATGGAATTGAAGTTTTTACTTTGTCTTAATATGAATCCTAAGGTTTTGTTACTTTTCGTTACAACATAATCGATATGTTCTGAGAATGTCATCTTTCTGTCGAAAACGACACCAAGATCTTTGATTTTATCCACTTTCTTCAAAATGGTGTTATTGAAATTATAATCGTATGAGAATATATTGATATTTTTAGTAAACGAGATGAAAAAACATTTGTTCAAATTGAGAAATATTTTATTTACGATACAATAATCATACAAGCGATCTAGGTCACGTTGAATTAAAAGGTTATCGACTGGACTTTTGACAGATGCAAATATTTTCAAATCGTCCGCAAAAAGTAGAAATTTACAAGTTTCAAATGATGACGTGATGTCATTTAAATAAATCAGAAAAAGTAGGGGCCCTAAATGTGATCCTTGTGGCACACCTGAAGTGACAATATAAGAATTAGATTCATATCCATTAGCTATAACAATTTGTGACCGATTAAATATATATGAAGCAAACCAACGGAGCAGATCACCGTGTACACCAATCTCAGACAATTTTGACATCAATATGTTGTGATTAATTTTGTCGAAAGCTTTGCTGAAATCCGTATACACGGCATCCACTTGGGTTTGGCAATCCATTGCAGATAAAATAAATTCATTGTATAACGTGAGGTTAGTTTCAATGGACCTTTTCGGAATGAAACCATGTTGTTCAGGAATGATACATTCTTTAACTTTATAAATTAGCATTTTGTGTACAATTAGTTCAAGTAATTTACTTAGTATATTTATTTTGCAAATCGGTCGGTAATTACTTATGGAACATTTTTCACCATTTTTGAAAATCGGAACTACGTATGCCTCTTTCCATTTTTTCGGAAATGTGCATTCGTCAAAGGATCTGTTGAATATAATGGTAAGGGGAACATATAAACTGGATGCACAGTTTTTGATAAAAAATGATGGAATACCATCAGGACCACAGCCTTTATTTTCATCGAGCTTGCAAAGAATGTCGTGAACTTCATTTTCTGTAACGTAGATTTTGTTAATCAGGCACTTGTCTGTTTTCGAAAAGACTTGTAATGTTTGATCGTAAGGTTGAAATACACTTCTGAAAAATTTAGAGAAAAGGTCACAAACTGCAGCACCGTCTGCGGATTGATCATCTAGTTTCATTGAATTGGGTAGACTATCATTTCTATTTTTTGCGGATACGAATTGCCAAAATTTTTTTGTATTATTTGGTATATCGTTTTGGACAGTATTGATAAAATTTTTGTAGTCTTTATTTATCATTCGCTTGGTTCTGCGTCGTAATTGACGAAACAACAAGTAATCTGCTGGAGAATTCAAAGATTTCCATTTTTTATGGGCTTTATTTTTTTCTGTTATTAATTTCAGTGTATTTTGGGTGAAGTACGATGGAAAATCACTGAAAACTCTTTTTTTGGGTATGAATTTTTCAATGAGATTATAAATTTTTTCATAGAATACTTCTATGCAATCATCCACGGTTGAAATCCTCTGAAAGATATCAACCCAATCGATATTAGAGATTTCAAAATTTAAAGCATCGTAATTACCTTTCCTGTAATTGTTAAGAGATTTTATGTTTGACTTAAGTTTTTTCAGCACAGACAGTTTTAGGTTGAATGTTCCACTCAAACATAAACTATGGTATAATCCTATGGGGTAACCCCTCTCATGCTATCAAAATTTTCAAGCAACAGAAAAAGGTGATCAGAATTATGATGAACGCAGAGTTCAGAGACCACTGTGAACCACTTTTCATAAAAATAGGTATATTACCCTTACCATCTCTAGGCATCTGGATGTTCATAATAATAATAATAATAATAATAATAATAATATTTTTATTTTCCATTCGACAATTGAAAATTGTATTGGATTCGTCAACACAGGTGACTAAAATAGAACAAAAGTAAACACACAAATAACTTAAGACTAAAGAGACTAAAGAGTTACATCTAAAAACCAAGAACAAAAATAGGGAGATGACATTTTACATTTGTAAATATTCCGCTACAGAATAGAAACATTCTGTCACTAGAAAGTCCTTCAATTTTTTTTTGAAACAATAGAGTGTTTCACACTTTTTTATTTCATCTGGCAATGAATTGTAAATCCGAGGAGCCATTGCATTAGTAGAATTATAATGAATTTTTGTATAACTGAAAGGAATGTAATAGTGATCTTTTTGGCGTGTATTGTATTCGTACCTGGAATCGTTCAGTGTGAAGTTACTACGATTTTTATATACGTATATGCAGAATTCAAAAATTAACAGTGATGGTAGCGTGAGGATTTTAAGATTTTTGAAGTGGTCTCTACAGGATGAGCGTGTCGATATTCCAACTAGAGTACGTATAATGCGTTTCTGCGCAATGAAAACATCTGAAGATGAGGTGGATAGGCCCCAGAAGCGCACCCCGTATCTTAGTCTGGAATCTATTTGGGCATAATATAATTTCAGGAGTTGATCCTCGTTAAGGACGAGTTTGAGATTATCACACGAGAAATGCAGAGCATCTCATTCAGCCAAGATACAGATTGACAAAGTCACAGAAAAACTCACTGAACTTGAAGCTCTACAATCATATACCAGATCAAATCAGAGTACTGAACTATGAATCGTTCAAGTTAAAAATGAAGTATTTTATGCTGTCTAAGTGATTCATGGAGACACTTTCAAATTTGGACAGGTGGGAATAACCATCAATATGATTATTCTTTCAGAGAGAAACATCGTTTTGAAAACGGTTCCGTATGGTTTTATTGAAATGAAATGGGGAAAATTTTTTGTGAAATCTTCAAAGGATTTTTTTCTGTGACGGGTAAAAATTTTGGAATTTCATCTCTGTTGATAGGTTATAAAATTTCACTTTTTAATTAATTACTTTATTCCCAAGGGAAGAAAGTAAGCACTTTTTTCCGGGCCCGTGTTCATGGGAACATTTTTTTTCTTATTTTAGTATCCTCTATTGTGTGGCACTATGCAATGTACTTTTTCTGTCACCCAGTATATCACATATATACATACTGTTGATGGCTTTTGTTGTGCTATATAGTTCCGAAAAATAAGCCAAGAAAGCCGTCCCCGAGAAAAAACTGCAATACCTTTTATCTTCCATTCGACTTCGCGGTTACGAAAATTACTAAAACCACAACACTACTGAATTCACAATTTTTCAAATCAAATCACAGAATTAGACTGACGGATATTTGATTACTTCAAAAAATGATGAAGATGCCTGCAAAAAGATGCCTGGAGGCGGGTGTCGCTTCGATATGTATCTCTTCTCGAAATAATTTGAAATTGTACATGAATGAATTCTCTATCCAGCCAGTTGGAAATAATTGTAAAATATTGTATGGTTTTCCACGTAGGGACCGTGTCGTATACGATTCCCCACCCTGTATATACAGGGTGTTCCAAAATTAGCCTGCCAAACTTCACCAGCGGCTTCTTCGGCCAATAATAGGAAGAAAAGTTTCAATGAACAAGAGTCGAGAAATGTCTCCTAAGGGAGCTACGGCCCCCCGAAAGGGGGCTCCTGAAGATGATATTTCTTGAATATTTCCGAAACGCCACGTGATGAAATGATGCAATTTAGCACAAGTAATAAACTTTCCATGCCGAAAAAATTATTCCAGAGTTTCATTCAGGAATGTATAATACAAGGTGCAACTACATTAAATATTGCTCAAACTTTTTCGTGTGCATAGTTTTTGACAATTTGATCTCTGATTATG